CGTTCTTTGGGTATGTGCCAAGGAGTGGTATAACTGGGTCAAATGGTAGGTTCATTTGTAGTTTTTTAAGAGTTCTCCACACTGCTTTCCATAGGGATTGAACAAGTTTGCAGCCCCACCAGCAGTGGATCAGTGTTCCCTTTGCCCACATCCTCTCCAACATTTGGTATCATTTGTTTTCTTGATCTTAGCCAGTCTGACTGGGATAAGATGAAATCTTAAAGTGGTTTTAATTTGCATTTTCCTAATTATTAGTGAGGTTAAACATCTTTTTAAAAGCCATCTTTACTTCTTTTGAGAACTCTGTTCAGCTCCTTAGCCCACCTTTTAATTGGGTTACTTCCTTTCTTAATTCTTTGTTTTCTCATTTGTTATATATGCTGGATGTTAAATCTCTGTCAAATATGCTGCTGGTGAAGATTTTCTCTCATTCTGTGGGTTTTCTCACCACATTCCTGGTTGCTTCTTTTCATGTACAGAAGCTTTTTTATTTTAATGAAGTCCCATTTGTTGATTCTTGATCTTGTTTCCTGAGCATTAGATGTCTGATTTGGAACATCCTTTCCTACACCTATATTTTGTAGGTTTTCATCAATGTTTTCTACTAAGTTTCAGAGTTTCAGGCTTTACATTGAGATCTTTGATCCATTTGGAATTGACTTTTGTGCAAGGTGAAAGAGAGGGGTTTACTTTCATTTTTCTATAGGTGGAGATCCAGTTTTGCCAGCACCATTTGCTGAACATGCTGGTTTTCCTCCAATGAATGTTCTTGGCTGCTTTGTCAGCTACCAGGTGGCTGAAATTCCATGTACTCATATTTGGGTCTTCAAATTTGTTCCATTGATCTATGGGTCTATTTTTCTACCAGTACCATGTTGTTTTTATTAACATAGCTCTGTAATACATCTTAAAATCTGGTATAGTAATCTCCCCACATTGTTCTTAGTGCTCAGGGTTGTTTTGGCTATCTGAGGTCTTTTGTGCTTCCATATGAATCTTAGGATGGATTTTTTCCAATTCTGTGAAAAATGTCATGGGGATTTTGATTAGCATTGCATTGAATATTTGCTTTTGGTATGATGGTCATTTTCACAATAATAATTTTACTAATCCATGAGCATGAGAGGTTTTTCCATCTTCTTGTGTCTTCCTCAATCTCTTTCTTCAAAGATTTAAAAGTTTCATTGTAGAGCCCTTTAATGTCTTTAGTCAGGTTTATTCCTACATAATGGGAGTGTTTCCATGAACTCTTTCTCTGATTGCTCATTATTAATGTATAGAAAGGCTATATCTTTTGCTGATTTGTTGTTATTGGTGTATTGAAAGGCTTTTGTAGGTTAATTTTATAAACTGCCACTTTACTGAACAGGTTAATAATTTCTTGGAGTTTTCTGGTGGAATTTTTGGCACCTCTTAGATATAATATATCATCTGCAAAAGGATAATTTGATCTTTTCCAATTATTACTCCTTTAATTTCCTTCTCTTGTCTTATTGATCTTGCAAGAGTTTCAAGCACTATGTTAAAGAGAAGTGGAGATAGTAACAGCCTTGTCTGGTTCCTGATTTTAATAGGACACTGCTTCCAGTTTTTCTCCATGTAGAATGATGTTGGCTATGGATTATTGTATATAGCTTTAATCATGTTGAGGTGTGTTCCCTAAAACCAATTCCTTCTAGGACTTGTATATGATTATCGGTGTTTATTGACTTATGTCTTTGAGCCTGGTTATATGATTTATGAAGTTTATTGACTTACGTATATTGAACCATCCCTACATCTCTGGGATAAAGCCAACTTGATCATGGTGGATGATCTTTTCGATGTGTGTCTGTATGTGGTTTGCAAGTATCTTTTTGAGAATTTTTGCATTTATGTTGATTAAAGATATGGTTCCA